TATATATATATATATATATATATATATATGCTTATATATATACCAATTTGTCTACAGAATTAGACTGTTGAATTAGAATGAAACAAGTTGATTTCATCATACCCTCAACTACAACACAAATAACATTGTCATTATCTCGATCTAAGAAAACCCATAAAGAAATCCATAGCAACCTCTTTCTATTTTCACTATGGAATGGATAACAACTAGAAAAATATTTCTCGGCCGCTGATGCTTTGTCTTCACGAAGAAGTTTCACATTTTGAAATAAAATATGCAATATCCTTCTTCAATATATAACACTAAAAGAAACCTTTCAAATCATTATACAATTTACAATTTTTTGGGTGAATATTGTAGCATGAATGGTGAGCTTCATGCAAAATCTTCTACCTTAGATCTCCAAAAATAGGAACTCATAATCTATCATTGTAGAAGATAATATTAAAATCATATATTTGTAGTTTAAATTTTTTATCATATATAATCAGATCAATCAACTTCAAATATTATGTATCTTACTTTTGAAATTTCTTAATCCTTTCTTGTAGAGAAAGCTAAATATTATGTGAGGTAATATGTCAGAATCCTAATCAATATAAGAAATCACCTTCAACTGTAATCTCTTTATATCCTATGTCAAATACTCATCAGGAGTAAGTTGAATACATGATAATCTAGAATATTTCTTGCTTAGAGCATCTACCTCCGTATTAACCTTACTAAGTTGATATTGAATAATTGATCGTAGTCTTTGATCAACTGAAGACATCTTCTTTACCTCGGGTTCAAATTCTTGTAGGTGAATATATATTTTGGACTCTAATAATCAATAAAGATCACACATATAACTCCAACAAATAGTATCTCCAAATCTTCAATGCAAAAAATTATAGTAATAAGTTCCAAATCATATATCAAATAATTTCTCTCATGTGGCTTCAACTATCTGGAGGTATAAGCTATCATGATACTGTACTCTATTAGAATATACCCCAAATGTCTTAATGAAGAATCACTGAGTACCTGAAAGACTTTTATGCAAGAAGGAAGAGCAAAAATTGGAGAAAAAGTTGAATAATCCTTACGTCTATAAAAACTAGTCTCACACTCTGGTATACAGATGTGGGCTCGAAAAATTCGACCCCGCTCTCCGCCCGCTGTGCTTTTTCTTTCGGGGGAGTTCTAATGAAATTAGTTTTAGGATAAATTTTGGGAAGGCAGATGGGTTTGTAGATAAGACACTACCCAAATATTTCACCCTCATTTTGCAAGGACTTTATGATCTTAGTTATGATTTCCTAGAGGCATAAGCCCCTATAGTTAATTATCCCTCCCAATAATGAGAGAGAACTTTTGATTAAGGCTAGTCATCGATCAGATATGTAGGAAATACATGTTATCAGGCATATAGTAGCAGCATGGTCTTAAGAATATGAAGGGTTTCGAAGAATTGATATTTAAAATTTGGAATTTTACCATCTAACACTTAAATGGGATGGTGGGGGAATGGATGATGGACCCGATCAAGATCCCATGGTTCCATCATCCCGGGCCATCGTAGTCTCTGGTCTACTTAGTCAGAGGAGGTAGTCGACCCAACCTGATAGAAGGATCCTTATCGGTAGCCATGGGTTGCTTCATCCAAGGGGACCTTATAGACCTGGGGGTGGATATTTGCCTAAGAGAAAAATTTTGAATCCACCTTAGCAAAAATTTTGAATCCACCTTAGCTAACAGAGGGCTTTATGCCCTATCGATCATATCCTATTGATTCATATCTCAAAGATTTGATGTCACTAAGGAACGTATTGGCTCTGGTCATAACCGTTTATCCTGTGGTGTCATTTAGTAGCAAAACCATCGAATAAAGAACACATACCACATCCTTATTGGCAGGAGATTATTTGAAAATTGATCTTAGTAATATTTTTTACTAGGCATTTGACTCTTTTTGAGTTGAAGTAGTTTTTAATTTGTCTATATCAGAAAACTGTTACATAGAGTAAATGGATTTTTCATTAAGTATTTGATTGGTTGACTTTCGATTTTAAATATTCTGAATTTTGAATGTCTTTAAAATTTTTTACTTTCAGGAATTTGGGTGATATTTGAAATATTTGAAATTATTTATAAATTAATCCCTCCGATTTAGATATACATTCAACACGGCCATCATCAGAGTGTGAGGGTCATTTCTATTTCACTACAGGAAAATTGTCGAAATCTGGCAATTTTTTCCGGCGGTTACTCTATATTAACCGGCGGTTTTTTTCCTTACCGGCGGCTTGACGGCGGTTTTTTGACCGCCGGAAAAAATCGCGTATGAAACTTTCACCGACGGTTTTTTACCGGCGGTTTATTATTGCGGCGGTTTGCAGGAGGTTTATACCGCCGGTTACAGGCGGATTTTGAACCGGCGGTCTTCC